ATTTGTCAGTGTTAGATTTTGTAACTTGGATCCTTGTCTGAAATTAGATAATAAAGCTATCAACCTTTTTACATTTTCTTGTTTGATTTCTGACAGGGACAGGCTTTCTGTAGTATTTTGTATCACAACCCAATCACCATCAGTTTCGGACTGATGACTCTTTGTATACAGGAGTGGCAGGCTCGTGATTTTTTGGTTAGAAACATCTTCTGGAAAATTGTTAGAAACAGATGTAAAGAGTTCATCTTCCACAGACAGGCTGACATGGTTCCAAAAAGTTAATGCAAACAGACACTTGTACAGAAAAACGTTTCTGAGAAAGCTCGTATTTAGTGTCATACTGTTTTCTCTTTCCTTGCAGGCGCTCAATACTTAACTGTCCATTTTTGTTCCAATCCTGTGGAAATTAAAGAAACACAAGCAAAAAACAGATTGTATTATTAAGTAGCTGTGCAGGAACCATCAGAGAGAGAGATTTTTCTAAGGTTCCAATTTCTCGTTTTTCCATTTGATTCAAAAAGCAATTATTTTCTACAATCATTCAGGAGAGACATTCTTTATTAACAGACCACTGAAATTTTTATTTGGCAAATAAGGTATATTTAACAAATAATGAATCAGGTTTTTACAAACCATGTCTGATTTCATAGGTGTCCAAAATTTGCTGCTTTCTTACAGAATTTCTGTTGTGATACAGTGCATTATGAATGCTTCCTAAACTGTGTATTAGAAAGTACAATAATTGGCATCAACACATCATCCTCTCCTCAGGTTCCCTCTTAAGTGATGTGAACTGGGCTCAGAGACATTATTTTAAAATGGACTTTTGACAGTAACACTTGAGCTGAAACATAGCATGGAGGTTTAAGAGCCTGAATCAAAAGCTGAGTGTCTTTAGATAGCTGAGACTGGATCATCAGTGCTTCTTTTAACTAGGGAAATGATGGTGAGGGTAGAATGATCTATATTTATGCCTTGGGAAAGCCCACAGAAGGGTTCACTTCTTGTCTGAGCTTAAACATTTCCTGAATTTAGACTCTGAAAGTGGGGTGGTCACATTTGGTCTGACAAGTGTACAAAGAGAACACCAGACACACACTGGGAATATTTGCAGGCTACACAAAAATATACACGAAAATAGATGTAGAACCTCTGTACACAAAATCCAGCCCTGATCTAAGGACACTGACCTCAAACATCTCTGTTGTGAAAGAGAGGTTTATTTAAACAGACTTTAAAGGGAAAAATCATAACTGTGTCCTTGCTTTGGTTTTCCTGATAAGGAGTCACTTTTTCTTTCTGAATGTAGGAATTTAGGAGAGCCAGCCTCCCTTTGTTTAAATCAGCCATTGAGAATATTGTCTTAAATCTCCTTTTCGCTATTGCATAAATCCATTATACTGCTCCTCTAAAAGAGGAACTGGTAAGAACTTGGTTAACAATTTTACATGTGTAAATCTTATTTAAAGCTGTTTTCCAGATTTCTAATATCTTTTTATTTCCTCTTCTTTCCCCTTCCCTCCCATTAATTTTAAATCATAATGTTGCCTGAGGTTTCCCACAGTACTTTTTAATGACTGCAGTGGCCTTTAACTTTCCCTTGATATTGAAGGGGTTAACTTGTGATTTTATTTTCTAATGACTCTACAATGAGACAGTAGCTACCACCTGAGAGACTGATTTACAACTTCAAGGACTACATTCACTGTGCCATTAACTATTCCATAAGCTTTCTCAGAATTACCAGGGCAAAATACATGTTCTACTTCATCTAACAAAAAAACAAACTAACAAATAAACAAAAAACAAACAAAAACCACACAAAAAAAAATCCACTGAGTTCTTTAGTAAAGAATGCATGAAACTAAGCTTGGAAATCATCTAGAAATAGTGGGGCAATATGGCAAAACCTTTCCAGCCTTTTTCCAAATTCTCATTTGGAAAAATTATACGCATCACAGCCCCGAAAATGCATTTGGGCATATTCAGTTCTGTTCTTCTGATTGTTTGGGCAACTTTACTAATGTGTTTATAATTAACCAAAATACATAGCTTCAAGAGAAAACTGAAAAAAATCTATCTTTAAATCATTATTCCTTCTTCAGATAAAATTTCAGTAATATCCATGGACCAGATGAAAAAAGGATAGGATTCTTCTAACGTGTTTTATTTTCTTTCTCTTTCATATATGCTAGCATTCAGTCAAATTATTTATGAGTACCTTCGAAATTTCTTTGGAATATAATATGAAGCAACAAAAGTAAAAACTTTTATAACATATAACCTGTGATTTGGAGGCTAATACTGTAGAAATTATCCTTCATAGTCATATCACTTTTAATTCATAAGTATCCTCATGTCTTCAAACGTGATAAAAAAAGCTTAATCAAGAAAAGCAATCCAGAAGGCTAGGCAAGCCAAGAGCATGGCAAGAAAGTGTCTGTTGTTTAAAGAGCAGGGGGAGAGAAAAAAAATGAGGTTTTAAGAGTTTTTCCAACATAAAACTGGTAGAAACTGACTAAACTTCCATATAAGAAATAAAGAGAATACATATAGCCGAGACAATTCAGTATTAAGACATGCACTTCACAGGTTACCAACATAGCAAAAAACTAATGCTACAAAAATGCCTTTCACAAGGATGAAACACACGCTCAGGTTAGACCCAGTTCCTGAACTGTAGAAAACTCAGGAAAAACTACTGCCATCACTCTGCCCCCCTTAACTATAGGTGTAGTGCTAATAATGAGAGACTGCTGCTTGGACAGGTTTTTTGGATAAGTATTCCGAACACAAGCAACCTCACCATCGTTCCTTACCCATACACTTGGAAAGAACATCGTACACTTGCTACAAAAAACAAGGCTCATTTTCAAATAAGATACAGAATATAAAACAATTACAGCTAACTAGCAACAGCACAAAGTCAACAAAATTGAAACTTTTCTCACCAGAAATCCCTGCTGTCCGAAAAAGCAGAAAATGTTCTCAGGAAAACTATAAAAAAAAAGAAACTTCCTGTAACTCTATCCTACTGAGTAACAATACTTAGGAACACCCAAATTTTTATATACATGTTTGTGCCATCTACTGACAGCTTGTGAAATGGCATTTGCTTTTCTCTGGATGTATTTTTCACATACAACATTATTGTAATATCTCCACTATTCTATTATTATTGAACTTTGTTTTTATGCTTTGCAATATATTAAACAGGAGAAATATGAATCTTTTTACTACTTTCTACCTTCATTAAATTAATATGAAAATAAGTACTTCTTTTGAATAAGTCTCTATGCATTACTGTAATTTTTTGTCCATTTTGCTGCACCAATTTAGTTGCCAGACTCTTATCAAGGCTGGTTTATAAAAGTACCATTTGTCTTATTTTAATTTCCATTTAATAGGAATGGAATAATAATCTCTCTCCTACTCCAGCAGTGTTGTCATTGGGTTAAACAGTGAACATGGAAACACTTGAGTGGAATTTGGTTTGGATTTTTTTCTTTAATTAAAACAGAGTGGTGACTTTGGCACTGAAAGCCCAAACATAGGGTTATTGTCCTGGCAAAGATATAAACCAGTCTCTCTTTATTTCTGTATAATGTTGGTCAGAAATTCCATCATAGCTGAGATCTAAATACAGAACTGCCACACTGTAACCTACCTTTCTGGGTTAGCATATCATTACACATTCATTATTTAATATTTCAATGATTCAGGAAGCAGAGGAAATAATCTAAGAAATTACTTTTTCACTTTAAGTCTTATTCTGTAGATTATATTTAATTTCTCAGCCTCAGGTGAAAAGAGGTCATCCAAAAATGAAATTGAAAGATAGGACAGGTAGTAAGCAACAGAATATGGAAAATTCATTGCTATACTGCTGATGAGCCTTACAGTAGTACTGTATGATTTCATGTGACCTCTTGGAGTAGCTCTCCTGAGTGGCTCACAATGTGCTGGGTTTGCCTCCTGTGTCAAAAGTAACTTATCTCGCTGGCAGACTAGTGATAGAAATGGTGCTGTGTTGCCTTTCACCACTGTAAAGGCCATGCTTCGCTTTAAAATGAGGTCGCAAAAAGAGGAACGGGTATGAGGAATTACAGAGAAACAAGAACCACAGGCTGTTGGGAACAGCCTGCAACCCCTTTGCTCAACCAAGTGTTTCACCGACTGGAAATGTGTGCACGCACCGCCGGCTTCTGTCAGGGGATTTCCCGCAAACACAGCGATGGGAGGTGCCGAGCGGTGTCTGAAACGCTGCATCTCCGTTCAGTTCCGCAACCCCACGGGTCAGTAAGTGCTCACTTTGAGGAAGGATTACTTTCTTAAAAAAAAAAAAAAAAAAAAAAAAAAAAGTTTTATGCCAGCTCAGCAACTAGATTAATTTGGACTTTTTCTCTCAGAGGACGAGTGAGCACTGAACCGGTTTCCCAGCGAAATAGCCACATCGCCGAGCTTATCTGAGTCCAGGAAGCGTTTAGAGACAACGCTCTCGGGCACGTGGTGTGATTCTTGGGGTGTCCTGCACAGGGCCAGGAGTTGGACTCGTTGATCTCGACAGGTCCCCTCCAACTCAGCATATTCTATGATTCTATAAAATTCACCCCTTTTCCGCCTCATCCCAGACGCGGGGGTAGCGCCGGCCCTGAGGGAAGCGCTGCTGCAGCCGCGCCCGACGCTCCGGCCGGCGCTTCCAGCGGGGTCCCGCCGGGCCCCACCGCGTCTCCCGCGCCGAGGGCTGTGAGGGGCGAGCATGGCGGCCGGGGCGGCTCCCCGCGCTGGGCCAGAGAAGCCTGAAGCCCAGGAAAGGCTCGGCAGCGGCATGACGCTACCCCTTCACAACAGGCGGCCGCCTAACATAGCCGGAAGAAGAGCGAGGGACAAAAGCCAGCCCTCCCTCCTCCCTGGGGCTGGCCCGGGCTGCCGGGCCCGCTCTGCCTCCTCCCCCCCGCTGCTGCCGACGTGGCGGGGCGGGGAAGGGAAGGAGCCGGGGGCGCGCCGGCCGGGGCACTGCTGAGCGGTAAGGAGCGCGGCGATTTCTGCATTTTCTGCCGCTTTTGACACTGGCTGCACCACACAGCTCTGTCCCAGAGGGGAATTTCGAAAAGGGGAAAAAGGAAAAGGAGAAGCGGGAAGTTGTGGCCGCTGCGGGCTTGCGGGAGCGGCGCTCCGGCTGCTCCTGCCCCGCCTGGTGCAGGGGCAGAGGGCAGCGGGGCAGGGGGAGCTGCCTGGGGCGTTCGCCTGCGCTCGCCGTGCCCGCAGCGGCCCGCGGTGGAGGAGCGATAGCGGGCGTCGAGCGAGAGGGGAGCAAGGTGCCGTCGCCAAAAAAGTTATTCCTCCCTCCCGCTCGGGGACGGTGATTCGTGCCCCAAGGCGCCCGGCGGTAGCTGGGCTGTGCTTTCCAGGGGAGATGAAACTCCTCAGACAGGCGCGGCAGGTGCCGCCACCGCCAGCCCCCTCAGCGCGGCTGGGCGCTGCGGGCCGGGCTCTCCCCCGCCACCGGTCCGGGCTGGCCTTAGCATTTCCCTCACAAACTCCCCGTAGAGTAATTCCCTTTGGGCGGAGCTGTCCGAGTTGATTTGGATCAGGACAGTCTCACGGATGAGAGGCTGAATGACGCTGGCCCCGGGTGCAGCCCGGCTCATGTGTTGTGACAGACACGGTGGTTCGCTGTTACGTGCCGTGCTCCTGGAGGGAAGGTTCAGCAGGCAGCTGCAGGGACCGTGGCCCCAGTGGTACCCAGAGATGATCCAGCAGTGCAAAAATCCATGTGCACGTCTGTGTCATCCTTTAAAAAGTGCTGGGCTTACTCAGAGCTAATGCCCATTCAAAATTATGAAGTATGTGTGTAAAGGTTTTACAGGTTTTAATAGAGGATCCTCATCTCTTATGATGGAATTTGACTTACAAATACAAAAATTTTCCTCAAGTGATGCTGTCCATCACACAGTGAGTACTGTTACAACAATAGCACTACTTTCCTACAATAAAGCATTTTATAATATTTGCTGTATTTGTAATGGTAAGCTGTCAAATGCAAAGATTCTGACTTCAGAATTCATGTTTTCTGAAGATAATTAAGGTACAATGTAAGCTGAAGTAATACAAGTGATAGCAAGTGCTTACTTTTTTACTTACGTTTTTTGTTCACTGGTCCAAAGTGCTGCTCATGGAACTATTTATAGAAGTGAGCTCCATTCACATTAGATAAACAGGCTACTAAAGCTATAGATGTATACAGTTCTACAGACTTTAATAAAATATACTAATTTAAATACATGCTTCTTAGGCAGATTTCTCCTAAATCCCAGTTGTGTTTTGCTTTTTGCCTTTTTTCCCCCGTTCTCCTACAATCTCCATTCTTCCTGACTGATGCAAACCTTTGAGCCATATTTAATTAATGTGAGAGTCAATAAAAAGGCAGCATCTACAGAGAGGACTGTACAAGTCTTTTCATGCCATGCAACTCAACATTTTGCAAGCTCTCTGTCAAGGATTGTCTTCTGAGTGCCAGGTATACTGTTGGTACCAACAATTAAATGTTAGTCATAACAGACCAGCAGTCCTTTTGGACTCTGGCAGTGCCACTCCTTGATCAGCTGCAGAGCTTACTCTGTGGCTTTATCTTTACCCATCAGCATCCTCAGCCTGATGACTGCACAATGGTGGAAAATACCTCCAAAATTACATTGGAAGATAAGGAATAAGTAAGACCAAACTGGTTCATAACTTAAAAAAAAAATCAGTAACTACGTCATACAAGTTTACCTTGGCTTCAAAATTGAAGTTTAATCACACAGCTGGAATTTTAGGAGATGGTGAGAATTGTTGCACTCCCCAAAGAGCAAGACTTTGGGACAAGTGATACAGAAACAGTGTGAGCAGTGACTCTGTGCTATGGCTGTGTCTGTGCAATGGCTCTAGGGCCCATGGCCTGTCATGTTCACAGATTATGCCCCTTCTGAAGCACATGAGTGTCACCACAGTTGTAGGTACAGAGAGTTACCCTCCCCTCTGGCAGTCAGTCAGCAGGCTGTAGGAACCCTGTGTATGTCTCAGCCATGAAAGGGAGAGCAACAGCTGCTTGGCTTTGCAGGTTAATGTAGAAATTAGCCATGTGGAAACTCCTACATTTGACTACTCCAGACAAATTAATATCCTTTCACTCTCACTAAACCATATTTTGGAAAGCAGTAATGCTGCTCTTTGTATTTGAGTGGGATCCTGTAGAGTGAGTGGAGTTACAGTATTATCCTGATGCCAGTGCCAGCGTGCCACAGGGCTCCATGCTCCATGCTTTTGGAGATCTTACGTCAAGGTTGTATTGTTTTTCAGCAGTAGCATATGGTAAACACTGTGTATTTTATAACAAACACTCAAATGTTCATGGTACCTAAAAGACTTTACTTTCTATGTTCAGAACTGAAAATGTCTGAAGACGCATCTGATGGCACCCCACCTGAAGAAAAACCTGAAGTAATGGAGATGCCCAGCAATGAGGTATTGCCTCATGAATCAGTACCACACCTCGTAGAAGCTGAGATCTTGCATGAGTCTTCACAAGATCAACATGGACAGGTCACTCAGAATGTTAGTAATGGAAAGGAAGGAGACACAGTCATTAATGAAAACCCTTTGACTGAAAATCTCGTTGAAAGCCTGCCTTGCAGCCTGCCTTCCAGTGAAGACACAACTGAAGACAAGCCCACCGAGTGCATTGAAACTGTAAGCCTTGATACAGAACCTGAATTGGAAGAAACACTGCATGAGCAAAGCAATCCAGTAAGCAATACTTTCTTTTCTCTAAAAGCCCTCCTCTCCTTGCATTTTGAGGACAGAATTTTGTATAATGTATGTCCTGTTTTTCACAAAAACCTAGGAATTTACGTGGAAAACCTACACAGGGATAAATTAAATTCCGACACCAAGCTTTTGAAAACTAGTAATAGTTTAATTTCACTTTTCAGTATGATACTAATTTGGTCTTTCAAGTCTGGTTGCAATGAAACTTGCATTGTATAAAGGTGATGTGTTACTGGACACATTCTTGAGACAACAGTTTCTTAACATGATTTAAATATGGAATACTGAGAATGGCTTAGCACTGGCCATTAATGTAAAAAGTATGCAGCACCTCCTCTGGCTGTGTTTTTATTGAATTCAGTTGTTAGGAGTTCCCTGTGCACATCTACTGAATTACACACATGAGGAGACTTTGGAAGAGAAGCCTCCATCTCTGGCTCCTGCCTCCAACCCAGCAAGGAGACAGGTTCCTACCTCTCCCTCATATTAGCCTCAATAAACTTTATAGGGTTGGGTACCTGAAGAAATATTAGGACATCTGTAAGACATCTCTGGAGATTAAAGCTCTTCTAGGAACAGATGATGTGAGCTATGCTTCTGCTTTTTTTGTGCACAGAAGTTTGAACTCCACATAATACCCAATCTGTCATCACCTATTAAATGCCTGACTTTGTTGCCTGACAGTTTCTTTGTGTTTCCTCCTGCCTCTTGAGAACAAGATTTTTAGACAGTGGAGTAACATTTTTGTTCTTACAGGCTGCAGACTCCTCATCTAAAGCAAGTAGATGGGGAGCTTGGGGTACCTGGGGAAAGTCTCTCCTGTCATCAGCTTCTGCCACAGTGGGTAAGTGTTCAGTTGGTAAAATGTGTGGAAACAATTAATAATTTTCATGTGTCATTAGACAGATTAGTGTTGCATCTTAAGGATTCATAGACAATTTTGCCTTGATAAGCTTGGGAAGCATGATTTTTTTAAAGAGGAAGATGGACCTTCCTAATTATTCAAATTATGGACAAGGTACTAGGCTTGTTTGTAAAGTTAATGAATTACTTGATTGTGACTTCTTCATAGAAAGGATCCATTATCCAATACAATTTCTATCAGGCAAAGGCTTATGGTTTCTCAAGTCAAAGCAACCCAGATTTTCATGCTCACTCGTGTTAATGGTTTGTATGCCAGGTTTGACTCCTGCCTACACATGAATTCACTTGTAGTAAATCATTCCAGCTTTTCTTGCCACCAGTGAAACACTCACACTGTCACACTGGATTTCAGACAGTAGAACAATGTATTAAAACATGGGCCCTGTACTCCCTCTCCCTGTACTCTCATTTCCAAAATGTCCTTGTGAGGACTTCAGGTGAAACTTAATTATTGCTCTTTGAAAACTCACCGTCAAAAAGCAAAGCATAGAAATATGTAGTTACCATTGGGAAATAATTTCTCACAAACCAGAAATGTTTTGTAACAAAACAATCTGTTAGCTAGTCAGTTCTCATAAAGGATCCACGGAACACTTTCAAAAGATGAACATAGGAATTGAAATTAATTGCTAGTTACTAAAAATTATTCAATAGAGATACTGGTTTTATGATCCCATATAAGGCTCAGTAATTCTCCTCCTTATCTCCTGTTTTCCATGGACAGTAAGTGGTTTCTGTCTGTTTCTCAGAGGAGGGAAATTTCCTTGTCCTCTTTTTTTTCAGTAACATCCACAGTCAGGAGTGAATAACTACATTTTCTTTCAGACAACAACAATTAACATTTCTGGCTACATTCAGAATGGGTTTCTAGGGTGTGTGGAACAAGTTTGTTGTGTAGGCAGTCTGACTTGATAAGGTTGTCTGATGTCTGTTTTGAAGAGGCATGTCATCACCATGAATAAATATTTTTAGGGTTGTTATTGTCTAAAAATGAGCGCAGCTGGAACAAGTCAAGTTGCCTTGGAAAAAGAGCATCCACATGCAGAAAAGGAAAAGGAAAATTGTAGAATAATTTTAATTCAACATCAGAATGGTTGCACTATTTCACATTGAAGACCCATCTACTGTTTAGGTTCTGGCAGTGACCAAGAATAGCTAGGAAAGCACCTAAATCCAGATGTATATAAAGCAGCAGTTTCCAATTTTCCTATTTCCTAGAATCTGCAGCATAGACAGAGTTCCTGACCCTGGGATCAGGGTATGTTGAGTTTCCACGTTACTATCTAATAATTTTGAATCTAACTTCGTGAATTTATTTAACAAAATTGACTATGAATTAAGCAAAAATAAAATTTATGTTCTTCCATGTTTTGTGAACCCAAGGTAACTTGGAAGAGCAAATAGCTAGTCTTAGATTTGTTACAGGAAATCAATGCACCAGGTAATATTTTATATTCCTGATACAGAGGGCTTATTTCCTAGTTGTTTATTATGAAAATTCATGCTTGATCCTCTGGAATACTTACTGTCTCTCACTGTCATGGACACGATATGGTTCTGAACAGACCACATATTTCCTTCAGTATGATAATTCCCTAGTGAGATATATGGAAAAAAAATTAAAGCTATTGGAACTTTCTATAAGCTTTATTGTTATTATTATTATATATTTATTATTCTCTTCAAATTTACTCCATTTAATATCTGATCAGATCAACCAACACTTCATCTCCTGTTCCACACCAGAAAATAGTTTTGCTATGGACCAGTCCATTGTAAAGTTGCTATTCCTTCAGTGTAGCAAATGCTGTAAGTAAAACTGCCTTCTTGGAGTTAAGACTTAGTAGCAATTCAGTCTGTGATTTTTCTGTTGTTCTGCCATTATATTGTACAACACAGCTGCTTGTCTGGTGAAATATGACCAATATCTACTATTCCTAATGTTTTTCTTCAAAATTGTACTTTGTAAAAATAGCGCAAACAGTTTGAGGTGGACTAAATAACATCTTAAAGGCTTAAACAAATACATTCTGCTTTTAACAAAGAGTATCATGGACCAGCCAAGGTTGGACAGTACCTTGAAAAGTCGTCTAGTCAGGGGTTTTGTGGGAAAGGCTTTATGCCTCTAGATGAGATTATCTAGCATGTTGTCCAGACACATCTTGAAAACCTCCAACAACGGAGACTTCACCATATCCCTGGGTAGGTTTTTCCAGTGAATAATTCTTCTTACTGTAATTAATTTTTCTTGCATTCCTACCTGTTTTAGACTGAGTTAAAATGTTGTTCCAATGATCTCAGTTTCCTTATCCTTCAGACACTGATAGAGAATTCACAAACACATGAGCATTTTTAATGCATGGCTATAATTTATTTAGGACAGCTGATTTTAGTTCCCTATAATAACTCAGTTTCCATATAGTTTGTACCTCATCCTCCTTTAAGTAACTCTGCGCATACAGCCATGGATTGTTTTGGTGGTAATTTTTTTATTCCAAAGAAAATATCTGTTGTCTTTGAACTGATTTTGACATTATTTGGATCGAGGTCCCCACGACAAGACAGATGTGATACTCCTGTACAAAACAGAATCTGTAATGCCTTTGGAGTTTCAGTCACTGCCTGAACCATGTTTGGGCTCTTGACACTAGATGTCACACTAAGCAAACTATTGAATCAACTTCATCAATGAGGTGAAGAGATTTCTTTTGTTCTTGAAAGGTGCAAGAAAGTTGCTTCCTCCTTATAGAACCACAGTGGAACAGAACCACTGAAATAGTTGCTGGAATGATGAGATGGGAGAAGGCTCACTGTGATATGGAGGAACAACTTGTACTAATTATCACCATTTTAGTGTGTTTCTTTTCAGTGGTGTTTTTTAGTAGATCAGCCATTACACAAGGCAGTCTTTTGACAGTGTTAAGCTCGAGAGAGTGACTATTGCAGCTAAATCAGTCAATTAATGGGTAGTAGCCACTGAAATGTGTAGTCCCTCACCTGTCTTTTCCTTGCATGTTTCTTCCTTCTCCCTGTACCAGCATTCATGTTCCTCTGAGTTCCCTCTAATCCAGTTTAGGAAGCAAAACTGACATAAGAGTAACTCTAGAGGAAATTTTCTGCCTCATTTTCTGCCTCTTCAGTTCCTTGATCCGACTCTTTGAGACCAGTTTTGGGGCAAGCAGAAGGGACAAGTGTGGAACATGGGGAGAAGTAGAACCTCCCATAACTGCACCAAGAAGCCATTAGGTTACCTTAGCTGTAACAGCAAACTCTTTATTCCCAGGGCTTATGTGAGGCAAAATATATTTTCAGTTTGTCCTGGCAGCTTGTGACTTGCATTTTTAAAACATCTTCTATGCTTTAAACCTTGGGTCTTTGTTTTTTCTTCCAACTAATCTATCTGCTAGCTTAATTAAAGTGACTGCCTTCTGCAAGCCTAGCCTTTCATATGCTATGTTTTGAATGATGTATGACATTCAGAAGGTGCTGAAGTTAGGATGCTCAGTGAGCTGCATTTCCAAGCAAAGTCTGTTCTCTATCATGCTGTATACAAATGCTTCACCTTTAGAGCCATTGCTAAGACTAGAACCTGTCAATACATTCACACAATAAAAGTAATAAAAAAATAACCCAGCTGTTTGATTCATATGCTCCCTGAAATTCATACTATAAGGCTGCGCAATGCATCTTTCTAATATGTTGTTTGTAATTATTGTTCTGCTATCTTGATTATTTTGTTCTTGTGTATATTCTCATCTAGTTCCTTAGCTGTGAGAATGGCACATGAAAATATCAGACACCCATACTTCTCCCTGGTATGCTGAAAAGCACTTTTTGTCACTCAAGTGTGACAGAATGAAATGTCTCTTTATACATCACTGTGTTCATGAGCTTGGATATTATTATGCATGGGTATGTGTAGTAATCAGCATTACATAGTTGACTTCTCTGTGGAACAGAAATGCCAGTGCTGCAGATAATGTGAAACTAAAGTATTCAAACATTGCAAATGTCTTTTCTCTATAGGTATTGCTCTGTTGCAAAATAAAGTACAATATTAAAAAAAAAAGTCTGGGTGTTATGCTTGTACTTTAGTTATGCTTGCACTTTATGTGATCATAAAGAGGATAGTTAATCTCTTCAGACTTTTTTTTATTTCATAAATTTGGCTAATTAAGGGAAAACTACTTTGGGTTGGAATCACATGGTGGTCACAACTGTTTTGTAAATAACACTTTGGCTGCTATAGCAGCAAGGCTGGCCCTTTGCAGTTATTCCTTTTTAAGAATGCTGAATTGAAGTTTTTCTCTTTTTTCTCTTTTGCGTTCTTTATGTCTTTTAACATGGGCTTATAGTCTAGAAGAGACTGAGAGCCAATAAAATGTAACAGCCTTTATGCTTATTGCTATTATTGAAACCTTTTATGCTTGCAATATGGAGATCTGAATCTAGTCTCATTTACTAGATTAATTGGAGTGATTCCTGATTTATAGACAAGATAGCATAGGTGTTACAAGAATCTAGCTTGGTTTTTTTTTTTGTTTTAACTGCCAGGAAGAGAAGTTTTGTGAAAGCTTGAAGTGAATGGAGTGCCAATAGGATAGCCTAAAAGGGAGCAAAATGGGGCCCCACTTTTTGGTGTACAAAACCAGAGCACGGCTGGATTGTCCACATCTCTATACTTCATGTTCTGGAGTGATTCTCCTCCAGCCAGTGTCAGGTTCCTCAGTTTCTCATCTGGTGAAAGGTGCTCATTTAATGCCTTGGTCTTCCTCTTTAGCTTGAGCTAGATGGGGCTTCACTCATGTTACTAGACAAAATTTTGATCAGTTCTTCATCAGATGTGCTCCCATGGTAGGACACAGGTTACAAAGGCAGTGTTGTAGCCGGGGACAAAATCTCAAACTCCTCCCCATCTGTACCAGTGAATCAGAGTCCAATTGCCTGTGAGTACTAGATGGACAAGGGATCAGTGGTTCCTATACAGAGTGGTTTAGGTTTCAGACATAGTGAACTGCCCTCCAGGGGTGTCTGTTTGCCTCTCTCAGCTCTGCAGGGAATCCAAAGCTACTAAGCTGGGAGGTGGAAGATGAAACAGCTTGCAGCAAAGTGGGATGGGATCTGACTAAAGCATTTGTGAGTGCTGCAATCTGGCCTTGGCAGATCAGGCAAACCAAAAGGCAGGTCATGTTGTTAGGCAGTGTTAGCAAAACCTTCTTTTTTAAATTAAAGATCCCAACTAGGAACGTGAACAATAATATTCTGTGGAAAGTGCCAGCCAATAGAAAGGCAAGGAATCATGGGGGCAAGAGAAACAAAAGCAATAACACAGGGGAAAAAAGAGTGCTTTCTTCCAAAAGCTCACAGTTAACAATGCCTACTGCATAGCTCTTCTGTCTGTTGTTACAGAAGAGTAAATGGAGATGTCAGAGGTGTCAGCTCAGTTGCATTAGCACACCCAGTGTTACAAAATGAGTGCATCTTTAAATTGTAGGCTTCTCTCCCATGACCTCTCTTACTTCTGTGCCTTTTGAAATTGCAAATAATCATCTTCATTTCCAAGGCAACAGGCATTTCTGCCATTTGTGCATGTATGGCAGTTGTGGTCTTCTGATCTCATCTGGTTTTGCTGCTGCAGTCAAACATACATGCCATATAGCTTAGTTCAGCAAAGCCACCCTTAGCTGACCTGGAGTATCTTCTTATTATTCTAGGGCATTTAACCACAGCCCCAAAAATGCTGCCTTTTGTAGGTCAGTAAATATCAATACAGCAACTGTGTGCTTTCTCTTCTTAAATGTGTTAGCTTGTCTGCCAAACTATGGAAATCAATTCAAGGTGTAAAAAATCACAGGGAAAAAAAGTGGGAAATTGATCTGAAAACATGTAACTTTTGCAGACAATTCAAATTTTTGCTCAATGTTTAAAGGATTTTTATACGACTACAGGACCATAGTATTTTGTTACCAAGTCAGGTTGATTAAGTCAATGAAAAGAATAAAACTCTCACACATTTAAAAAGTTGTGAGCAGAAGCAATGGGAAGGAATGTGACATGCAGTGTCTATTGTACTAGTGTAAAAGCACAATTAATAGTGATTTGAGTCCCAGGAATATGGGGATTAAATAAATGACTCCAGAATCTGTGCATGCTAATGTTTTCATTGGGCTCATTAAAATATGTGGGAGATTGGGACTAGACCATGCAGTACACTGCTCTCCAGTATCTGCATTGGAACAGACTTTGCAACAGTCAGGAAATTATCCAGCAATGACTTAAACACTGTGGTGCATAACCTAGTATGACTCACACAGTTGGATGCTGTGTGAGTTACTGTTTTTTGTAAGACACAAGTAAAATAGATAAAGGTCATATTTCCTTTAGACAGGTAAACATTTATCTGCCTAGGCTGTTACAGTGTGAAACATTGGGACCTTGTGCAGCCTATGAAATTCCTTGTCTCTGCAGGTATTTTCCATAGGCTATATCTGTTCTTTATGTTTACCTACAGATACTGCAGTTTTCTTCTGTGTGATCTTTCAGAAGTGCTGCTTCACATATGTTTTCTAGAGTATATTTATTCATAAATATATATATTCATAAATCTAAGCTTTCCTTTTTCCTACTCCAACTAGATTTGCTGCATCTTTCTTGACTCAGATGTTTGAAAGCATATTTGTATGACTACACACACAGATGTATATGTTTATTCAGAATGCTGCAGAGCACTGGCAAGTGATAGGCTGTTTTGTTGTAATTAATGTAACTCAGAAAAGATGCTTTGAACTTCTCTAATAGAGTGCACACAGTTATGGGAAATTGTGGACAACACAATCATTATGCATAACTTTGCACCTTAGATGTCTAGATATCAGCCTGACCATCTGTATTAATGCCTCCTCTGAAATAATTTATCTGTTTACAGTTCAGTTTAACCAAAGAAGTATGAAATTGTTATTAACATTTCTCATAAATTGTTAAGCAGACAGTTGAAGCACTCTGGATTGCCCTACTGCTAGAAGTGATCAGTTTCATGCAAGATGCACTAACAGTGTACAGTACAAGATAAAAATCAAATCCTGTCTCTGAAGCTACTTAATTTTATGTTGGAAAGAAATATTGCTCACCTGGTTTGTTGTTCACCTGTTGCACCTTAGCTGATGCACAGAAGCTTCCAGCAAAGCAAGATTAACAAGTGGATTGCTTGTAATGAGAGAAATATGTTATGGACATACTTGTACACATATCCAGAAGCAAAACAGGCAGACAATTTTAGAGCAGTCCTTCTTAAGGGCAGCATTTTTCAACTACAGTTGATGCAGATTAGGAAGATGCTGCCTCCCCTTGACTGACTACAGGGACTCACCAGTCCCTGTGATCTGCTAGTGTAAACAAACTCTGTATAGAAAACCAGCAAGGCAATCCTGTTCTGTCAAAAGTATTCAGATAGAAACAGTAGCAACATGTATACTTTATATTAAAGTAGCCCATTTTAATAGAGGACTAGGGATTCACTGCATATGAATCATGTAAAGGTGGTAAAATCTTTGTAGATCGCCTGCCACTGGAGCAATAGTTCTGTTTGTGTCATTTGACATCAGCAGACTTAACAAAGTGTATTATTTAAATACTAGCTTTGGGGAGAGACATTTCAGAATTTTACTTCAAATGAGAAACTAAGGAGCTTAAATCCTGAAAAAACTTTGGGGACTGGAGTCAGTGTCCCTAAAAACATAGCACCTGTGCAGAGGACTGAACAATTCCAGACTCAGTCCTGCAGTCATACACAATCCATTGACGTTGGGTCAATTTTTCTAGAATACTGAAAACTATGTGAGGTGATACCCTATGGCCTTAGGAGGACTGTCAGTTTCCATTTAAACTGATTGCAATAGAATATTTAGCATTTTGAAAAGCAGGGAACTGAACTTATGTGGGCCACTGAAATAACTTTTACTTTTCAGATCCAGCATAATTTGTGTTATATTTCAGCCTTATAATTTATATTCAGTAGAAGTATAAGAATACTATGCACTGATAGTAATGAGTTTTCAAATCATATGGTCCATAAAACATGCTTCTTCTACAGGTCATGGGATAACAGCAGTAAAGGAAAAAGCAGGAACTACCCTAAGAATTCACAGTGGAAGTTCAGCCTCTCTGGAAACAGCGGAGCCTCCTGCAGCTGAAACACCAGTTACTCGTGAGTTCAAGTCCACTGAAATTGGACAAAACTCTGACCCTGCCAAATCAGTTCCATTTAGAAAATATTAAGATTTTGGTCACATAAACCATTTTACTGTAATTTTTGACTTGCAGGGTTGAAATTATGCTATAACCAGCTTGTTTTCTTTTCTTAGAAGCAGAAGATTCTCTGGCCCAAAGCTCTTCTGAGAATATTCCTTCTTCTCCTTCATCTGGATCTCGTGGCATGCTGTCAGCTATCACTAGTGCTGTACAAAACACAGTGAGTCATTTTAGCTGATCTCTCTGCTCCAGTTATTATTTGTTATTTTTTGTTCAACTTCACTGTAGGTCACATTTTTTAAGTTACAGGTCTTTGTAAAAAATGTTATTTTGTAAGTCTGTTTAGAGTCTTTTCCATGACAAAATAAAATTAAACTGTCCAATTAAAAAATAAGAAGTCAAACAAAACTGAGTTATGTTTTCACCAGTTTTAGAGAAAAAAAAGGTCTTTTCCAAAACTGTGTAGAATTCTGCAAATTTTTGAAAATCTTTTTTATAATTGTACCATCATCTGATTTTTTATTTTTACAGTTAAGTCCTCCTTCCAGAGAAAGTGGGATAGGACTTGTTACCATTTTTGAAGGCAGATAGCATAAGAAAATACTCCATTTGCTTATTTTAAGGCTTTTTACTAAGCTCTCTATTTTTAGTTCCTGTCCTTTACCTTCGCCTCTTTATCTAATCTCTCATTTCATATTAGCCTTCCCAGAAGGGGCTCTGATTGCAAACTTAGCGAAGCAAAATCTTTTGTTCACAGTTCTTTCTTAACATCCTTATATTTTGTGTGTTGAACTTCATCCTGTACCATACCGTTTCCAAATCAATTTTTGTGTTATCTTCTTCTCCAAATTTTTTTGCATCTTCAAGTATGATGTTTCACTTGAAATTATGGAAGACTTTAAATATTTGCTGTAAATGCATAGAAGATTAATTCCCCACTGAGCAAGTTTTATGAAATGGCAGTTCTTTTTTATTGTATATTCAGTTCACTCTGACTGCCTCATCACTGTAATATCAAAAATTTTGGGAACAGAAGGAGATTCCTATAGATAATTCCTAAGACTGTTTCTACAGAACCTGGAGCATCATATGGCTTGTAGAGCTGGCTGTCCACCAGTAAGATTACTTGAGCATTATACAAGATTTGCAAATAAGACAAATGTGCTTGTAGGCAGCCTGGAGAGCTGCCATACCACAGTGATCAATGTGGTACAGAAAGAATCACTTAAGGTCTCAGTAATACACTTGTAATGCCACTTGAGACTTTGGAAGGGTTTTCCATTATATGTCATGTTACATCAGCACTTGAGTATCTGACACACACATAATCCAGATTGAAATGGAAATCTTTAGCCAGTGAAACAACTTCTTCAGTGTACATAAAAAATATGAAGACACAGTAAAACATATGTATTTAAATAGACAGTTCCAGAGTCATCATAAGTGTTAAAATTTTAAAAATCCAGTAAGGCAGAGTCTTCTGTTCATGATGGACTTGGCTCCATATTATTCATGTCTAAAACAAGTTCCTACAAACCAGATGCCATTGGATGAAATTAAAGTGGAATAGAATAGAATAGAATGACAGAGCCACAGAATCGTTAGGATTGGAAGGGAACTTAAAGATTGTCTAGTTCCTATGCCCCTGCCTTGGGCATGGACACCTTCCACTAAACCAGGTTGCTCAAAGCCTGATCCAGCCTGGTCTTTAATACTTCCAGGGGTGGGGCATGCACCACCTCCCTGGGCAACCTGTTCCAGTGCCTCACCATCCTCATAGTGAAGAATTTCTTCCTGATATCCAATCTAAATCTGTCCTTGTCAAAGTAAAGCCATTCTAAATCTGTCCTTTTCAAAGTAAAGCCATTCCCCATTTGTCCAAACACTGCTTGCCCTTGCAAAGTGTCCCTCTGAAGCCTTACTATAGGTCCTGTTTAGGTACAGGAAGGCTGCTGGAAGGTCTCCTCAGAGCATTCTCTTCTCCAGGCTGAACAGCCCCAGTTTTCTCAGACTGTTTTCACAGGAGATGTGCTCCAGCCATTTTACGATTTTTTTTTAAATTTACAACAATTGTTACATTTCCTCTGGTGTAAGCTGTTCAATTAACTGGAAATATTTGTGTAGGTTTGCTTTTGTTTTGTTTTTTTTTTTTTTTTTAACATATTCAGAACAAAGTAAAGGCATCAATCCTCTTGTTAGTTGAAGTATAAGAAATTTAGGGACCTGAATGTTCAAAGATGGTGTCTACAAAACCACTCAACACTCCTCTTTACAGTTTATATTAGCCTAAACTGGGAAGAAAATAACCACAATGCATTATTTTATACAGGGGAAAAGTGTATTATCTGGAGGCTTAGATGCTTTGGAATTTATTGGGAAGACAACCATGAATGTCCTTGCAGAAAGTGATCCTGGATTTAAGAGAACCAAAACACTGATGGCACGAACAGTCTCACTCTCTCAGGTTGGATATATTTAAATACTACTCTGTCAATGCAATTTCATATTCTTTTTCCAGAATTTCACATGCCTCAGGGAGAGGCTTTATTTATTGCAGTAGATGCTGGCTGGGCTTATGGAAATAAATATTAAGCTTTACAATTGCTCTACTTTATTTTTCTTCATAGAACCACAAAAGATAATGTAAAATCATCTTTTCTGCATAATCATATATGCAATTGCTGATCTAAATATGATAGTATATGTGGTGATAAATCATTATACTCTGGAGGCACAATCAAATTGTTGGTGTTTTGGTAACAGCTGTAGATAGATATCTTTCAGCATAAACATTACTATGCTGTTTACCTTGGAAATCAATAATACTGGAATATAACATATGTCTCATTACGAATTAAACCTATAAAATGTTGTATCTCAGTGTCCATCTAATTTAATGGTATCCTTACACAGTTTTGATTCGTGTTTTAAAGCTCAGATATGAGATAAAAACTGAAGTATTAATGCTGTCAGTACAAAATTATTTTAGTTCTCCAGACCATGAAAGGAGGATAAACAATAGACATTGAGAAGAAAGTATGTTTACTGCATGTTTACTTCCTTGTATAGAGAAGTATTTTTTTAATGAGATGTTTCATCTTTAGTATTTGTCATTGGAAGAGTTAACAGACTTCTACTTTTATAGTAGATCAAAAGCAATTAACTCTTGTTGAGGCCCACAGGGTTAAAATGAGCTTTTGAGAATGTCTCCTTTAACAACATGCATGGATTTGCACATAGAATCTGAGGCAGCATGCAGCATAAATCAGTTCTCAGGGGTTGCACTATTGCTTTTTAGTGATTTGTTCATAAAACTTTGTGAGTTAACTTTTGAAAATGGAGACTTCAGAGGAAAAATGTACTGAAGTGTAAATTTTATGTCTTTTGTACTAAACAAATCACTGAAGGTAATATTGTAGGAATTTTGAACAGTGGAATAACATAAGTGGTGGGAGTTCACCTGTATTCAGAGACTTGCATGTGACCTGACATGTGGTTCAGATTTATTTACCACCTTTACTGTAGGAAATTCATGAGAGGCCACTTCATCCAGGAACAGAAGGAAGGAGGAGGAGATCCTATTGGATATCCTATCCTATCCTATTCTATCCTTCTTATACACTGATGTGAGTGTATTAAAAGCCCACCAAAATATACCCAAGTATATAGAGGGTAGTTCTGCCCCATCTTTGGTATAAGTCATCAATCTCTTTTGTCAGTCCCTCTTGTCACATAAAACTGACTTTAGTATTTGCTAAGAATATTTTATAGAAAATACTTCTGTGGGTGCATTTTTTATGCAAGTTGGTGGATAGGTCCTGAAAATAATACTTTTCCCATTTTGTGGTCTGTAGAAAGGATTGCATGGCTCCTTAAGGCTGCACATGAAATAGTCCTTTCTCATTCATTGTAATGGGTGAGGAAATTTGTTATATGGTATCGATAGTTGACATTGCTTTTGAAAATATCAGCAAGATTTTTTTTTGTTAATTGTAATTTAAAGAGAGATGTTAGCAATTACCATTGGGGAAGCCCTGCTTAGAATAGTATATAAATATTTTATCAGACAAAATTATCAAAAAAGAAGTTAGCTATTTCATCTCTAAAATTTTAGCTCTGCAGGTGTGATATAGTCCCAAATTTTATTACTACTTCTGGACACATGGAAGCAGATAGTAGTAAAATCTGTCACACTTACAGAACTATCAATAAAACATGGAATGATGTATATTTTTACAGCTGTTGCGAGAAGCCAAAGAAAAAGAGAAACAGAGGCGGGCCCAGCAAGTTACAGTAGAAAGAACAGCACATTATGGACTACTTTTTGATGAATTCCAAGGTTTGTCTCATCTTGAAGCTCTGGAAATCCTGTCAAATGAAAGTGAAGCTCAGGTACAGTATGCAGACAGCATAAATCAATATGGTTGGTAAAAAAATTTATCTTCACATTAATTTTATTTTGCAGATGCACGTAGGATAAACAGTAAGTTTTCCATCAAGTTCGGAGAAAGTTGAATTGATCCAATGGGTTAGCCCTGAGTTTTAGAACTCAATACATCTAAAATGTAACTACAAGAATAACTCAAAACAAACTTCATAACTGACAGGTATTTTTGTTAGGACCATATGTAGTCTGCCATACACAGCTTGTGACACTGCAGATATCTTGCCAATTTCTTGCAAAATTTGCAAGGAGGTTGAAATCTTTTGGTTGAAATCAGGTACATTCAGGAATTCCAGACCTACTAGATGTGGAGGCTGCTGAATTAAAATTAGTTCCAGATTACTTATTCAGTTCTTATTGTGTTGGTTTTTAAAGTTACACAGAACTACACCAAGATATTATTACTGGAAGTATACAAAAGTCTCTCTGAAGATGGTAATGTTAATAAGGCCTATCTGATAAATAAGTATTTCAATTTCAACTCTCAATTTATTTGCTCTGCTAGTACATCAGTAGATTGCTGACAGTGGGCTAATAGAATTTTGTAGATTCCTAGCAGTGATATTTTTGCACTGAAACAATTTTCTAAGTAAATTTCTTAAAAACAAATTTTCTTTTTTGTTATTGTAATTAGCATTCTTTCCCCTGTGGGGTACTTCTTAAAATATGGCCAACTTATGTTTTAAAATATTTTATTTGCTCTCATGAATAAAACAAGCTTATGTTAATAACAATTAGGTGCATACTGTCAATGTTATTTTTATTTTTGTTACTACCTAGATGAAAAACTATACATTCAAAGCACACATGTAAGGTTCAAGGGTCTGCTTTTGGGAGCAAAAAACAAAACCAAAAATGGCCAAACACCCCTACCCACTAAACAGGAATGAGATAGATAGATAGATAGATAGAAAGAAAGAAAGAAAGAAAGAAAGAAAGAAAGAAAGAAAGAAAGAAAGAAAGAAAGAAAGAAAGAAAGAAAAAGAAAGAAAGAAAGAAAGAAAGAAAGAAAGAAAGTTAGTTCAGGCTAATTGCATGTGTCAGTAGTATTTTAATTTTACTGTGAAATATCACAGGGTGAGCCAGCCATGTGCAGGTTGTTACCCTGAGGTTTCTGATGCACTGTGACTGTGTGGGTCAGCAAGCCCAGTACTCAGATAAATGTTCCACTTACCATGCACAGATGCACCCAGACACAGAATACAGAAAGAGTACTGTAAGAGAAACTTGAGACCACTTCTAACAGCCCAAAAGCCACAGGAGTGCAAGAGGTACTGAAGACATGTGTGTTTTTGTTTTTATTTTAAAAGTTTCCATTAAAAGAAGTTCCTAGTTAGCCCTTGAAATGGATAGTGCTGTAGAAAGGGAGGAAGAAGCCTTAAGTGGCCTTCCCAACCTGACTGGAGTGCCACGGCTTTGTCTTGGGTTTAATCCTGAGTACAGGAGCTGGACACAAAGACACACCAGTAAGAAAGTAACAGCTGTGTCCAGCCGTGCACTGAGGTAGAATGCACCTCTGTCCAACAGGCTTTAAAAAAGCCCCTTGAAACAAACAGAAAGGTCAAACTTTGTACCAAGGGGAGTAAGGACACTTCTCCAGGCTTCCATAGGCAGAAGGATCGCTCTGCTCATGGAGTTAACACCATCTAACTGTAGAACAGTGATTCAAAGAATCTGTTTCCATCCCTCTTAGGTGTGCCATCCTATTAGCTGTGCAGGGACTTTCAGATAGCTGAGACATGCAAAGACCTGCCAATACATTCTTCAGAACAGGTAGATTGTCAATAATTTTGGCTGCATTTTGAAGGCAGCCTTTTCCATCTCTTCCCATGAGTGCTCAGACTAACCATTATGCCTGTGCTCTTTTTGCCTGCTGCCTTCATCCAGGCAATCCCAAAACAGTTTGCAGTTAAACCGTAGATTTATAGTTCAAAACTCATGTTCTGGAGGAAGGAAGGGCCCTGTTGATGTGGCAAGGCTAGTGTAATTTTTGTGATACTCAACAAATTCTGTTGACAAGTTCTAAAAATATGTCTAAGCTGGGAGATTAGAAACAAGATTTGAACATAATGGAGGCTTCCATTTCTTAGTCTATTTTGGATTCAGGCTCTAAATTAGCATTTAGTAATGCTGTCTTTTCTTTTACAGATTCAGTCACATTTAGCAACACTTGATGGAGAGCAGTTGGAGACTGTGAAAAATGATTTAATTGCTATAAAAGAGATCTTTGTTCCAAAGGAATTAGATGATGAAGTGGTGCAGGCGCAAAAAGGTAATTAGAATTACAGAGACTTAACCATATGAATAATTGCTACTTTTTTATCCAGTAATTAAAAAAATTCCGGTCCAAACTGTAATTTCTGATATCCTAATAGTCTTCATAAAGTAGTTACTAAAATGAATACTCAAAGTTCTGGAAGCTGATCAGTGCTTAATTTTGAATTTATATTTTAACTGAAGTATGAATTATGCAAGCATAAATCAATATTAATTTATTTTGCTATATCATCAATGAGCAAAAAATGGAAAATAATAACTTTTTTGATAACTGAACTTTTCTTACAGAAATTGGATAATCTGAAAGTTTTGAAGTACTTAGAAATGATTTTCTGTTCAGCAACTTCATCCTCACTCTGCATCCCCCCTTTCTAGATGGGGGAAAAGATTTGAGTATCATAAAGAAATTTAAGAATCCTGAATTTTTGAATGAAAGTGACTTTGAAACACAGTAGCAAGCTGCTTTATAGGTTTTGCATAGCAAGATGTGGCACGTGGAGTGTGAGAAGGAGGTTAGAGCAGCATAAGCGTTTCCATAACTGAATGCAGTTATGGCACAGCATTGAAGAGAATGGGCTGAGCCCCCAAAAATACAGTAAAATCAGTGGGTGTTTTGGTTAGGGGCAAAATATGTGTCTTAAACAGATCAGAAATGTTAGCAGTTCCCCAAACAGGTTAGAACAGAAGGGTAAGAAGTCAGCTTGAAGGCAGCATGGTTCATGTCTCCAGGCCTGTGAGATTCACACCAAACCTGTTAGAGCTAGCAGCAAAACCCCTTGACCTAACTGAAGACTGGGTTATGCCACTGAAGGCCATATTGCTGTGTTTTGGAAACAAAGAAACATAAAAGGATATTTCTTCCACATCCTCTTGATCTTCTCAGGGTTACTTTGCCCATAAAACCTCCATTTTGCAAGATGGTGAGATAAGATTTCTTTAGCCTTCAGAAAAGTTAGCAAAACTGTGTTAACATTCACATGTTCTAACAGGAGAGTAATTTCTTCTCAGACTGCTCTTTCTGGCAGTGCTTACTCAGCTTGCCTGATCCCTCTCACAGGAAACTCAATGTTTCTCATTGAGGGGAACAGCAAGTGCTCAGCATAAAGTCTTAGTGTGGTAAAGTTTTATGCTGTTTTTTTCCCCTCTTACTTGCTCTTTAAACCCCATACATCTATGGAGTTGTGCAAAATAGAAGTCAAGAAAATGTATTACCTGCTTAGGAGTGAGGATTCATGAGATGTCTGTTATTCCATAATTTCTGTGGAAAGTAGTTCCTTGCTTTGAAACCAGCTCCCAGGAGAAGCTGTTTCTTGCACAGTGATGTTTTCTCTGAAGGTCAGAAGTTCTGGTTTTTTCAGTCAATCACAACTGCTTATCCTGCTCCCTGAAACATTTACAGGTGTGTTGAATGGGCTGCAACCAAGGCAGCGAGCACCGTAAAAAAAAAGAGACCAAAGCAAAGTGTGCTGCAGATTTGTCCTTGCAAAAGCAAACCACTCCTCAGTGCAACACATTCCTTCCTCCTAAGGCTGCGGAAACTGCTCTGACTGTTTTCTGGTACAAGTAGCAGAAGGCCACATACATACCCTTCCCTCTAATGTTTCCTCTCACTTTGATTATGCAGCCCTTTCATGCATTTTCCACTGCAGCTTCATTTCAGTTGTTAATGAAAAAATTAGGAGAATATTTGGAAATGTGGCTTTACCTGCATTTTGAAAGCTTTTAACACCAAAAATTTCATATGTGAGGTTAAATAAGATAGTAACCACAGTGAACAGTCAATTGAATATCTCAGTTATCAGTAGTTTTGGTGCATATACATGCACACTTCCACACATTCCTTTCTTGTGCCACTGTCATTATTTTAGTGCTGGAATACTTGGTGAAACTATTTCACTGGATGTATTTGATTATATAAAATACTATAGCAGTAACACTCTAACAAAAACTGTCTTGTTATTTCTTGCAGCAGATACAGGAGAAGAGTTTGTCAGCATGCTCACAGAACTGCTCTTTGAATTGCATGTTGCTGCTACTCCTGACAAGCTAAATAAGGTTAGCACCTGTTACTGAGCTGCCTTCAGTTTCTTGGGCAAAGAAGAAGGGCTTTGTTCTAAAATCTGACACAGAGCAGTACCCAGTTCACTGCAGACAGCTCAGAAAGCAAAGTACGGTAGACTGAGACTAAAATGCTGAATATAGAAAAGCTTTCACAGAAGTGAGATGAGTAAGGCAGTGCAGTTGGATGAGCTCTTTCCAGTGTTAGAAGGCTTGAATGTCTCAGCAGAACAGGGCTCATGGGAGCAGCAGATCTGATCTTACAGACTGGGAACAAAAGTCAGGTTCAGAATCATTTTTCTTGCTCTAAAAGTGAGTTTTTTGCTACTCCCTGTAGCCAGAGAGCTACTACCACAAAAGTGAGATGTCTGGGAGCTAGTCACATAACTAGTCACATTTGTACTATCAGGTCCCTTTAAAGCTGGTTCATCTGCTGGTCTTAAGCTCAAATGAGTGTTCATCTCTCTAGCTACATAGATAGACTATGGATAACTAGCTTAGGCTTAGGTCTTAATGTCTTTTAATTTGATTTCATGTTAAAAAGGAGACATCATAAATTTCCTACTAAGCATAGCAGTAGACTGAAGTTGTATAAAGTCTCAGGACTCTTCAGTTTTGATCTATTTGCATGCCGGGGAAAGCAGCTCAAGATACAGTGATTATTTTTCCTTTTAGAATGTAATAAATCTCTCTTATTTTTAATAGGAGAATTAATAAATATCTCCATTTTTTTTTCTTTTTTATACGCACTTCTTATTTTCTTGTTTGGAAAACTGTGTAAGAAAAATTTCTGTGTAAATTCTTTTGAATGATAAAGGTGAAATATTAACCTTGGAATTAACACCAGCTGTATGTGTTGGTTAGGATTATTATACCTTTAGAGGAATTATCCCTGGATGATCCATCTTTATGCAGTCCAAAATGCTGCTCCCTACAATTTCTTAAGTGTACACTTCGTAAATGCCGCTCTGAGGTTTGATACATTCAAATTTCTGAGTATAAAGAGGAAGTAATTAAATGTATTGTTAATTGATGTTCAGGAATGTCATTTCAGTCTCTTCTCAAACTGAACTTTGGGGTTGGGTTCTTTGTTTGGCAGGCTAGGAAAAAAGCTCATGAATGGCTGGAAGAAGCCAGTTTGTCCACCCCAGTAGACATAGAAGAGGAGCTAAATGAAAAACCTGAAGAACCTGGTGAAGAAAAGACTCAAACAGACAATAAAATTGAGAATGATAAAACAGAAGTAGACAAAAGCAAAACTGTGGAGGTAAAATAACTTTTGGAGGATAAGTTTCATTAAGTGATAAGATTGTTTCTTTGTGTGTTGGCTTTATATGTCATCCTTAATTTTTAAATTCATGGTATAAGAAATAATAATACACAACTATTCACTGTAGACCCAGTTGAAGACTAAATTACATAAATATTCTTACTGTTATTCGGTTTCCATAAGTAAATATCACAGTGACAGGTTCTCTATCCCATTGTTTTTATGGTTTTATATGTGTTTTTGTGTGTAAGCATGTGTATACTCAACATACAGTGAACTGAGGGATTCTGAGGTGTAATGTCAAACATTACATGGACACTGAAAGTTGTATCTCCATGTTTCTTAGTGTCTCCTTCTCTCAGTGACAATACGTGGGAAAATGTTCAAATTATTTAAAGCTTCAATCATAAACATACAAAACAGAAATATTATTTAGGCAACTAACAACTGTTCATTCTGTTTATGGAAGATAGCTCTTAAGGCTAAAAGTGTTCATTTAGACAGTTCTGATAAGGTTAATTGTGATTGGGTATTTTCTGTCAAGTTAATAGCAATACTAAATGTGGTTGCTATCTTTGTTGAGCTAATTTCTAATTAGAAATGATCTGTTTTACAAAAAAGTCTGAAGAAGCAGACAGAATATATACACTGTATATATTACAGATTTTTAAGTGATTGCAGATTACCAGCTGGCATCAGCTTGTGAAAGCTGTAGCTCCACAGTGCTACATAAAGATTTTTATAATTGTTGATAAAAGCCAATTTTTTATTGAGCACGGTATCTCTTTCTGCTCTAGAGATTCAGCTGAGGGATGGCTCAGTACTTTTGGCTCCCTATGAAAATAATTATGATTGTGACTTATTCTAGAGATTAGGTATCTTTCTGTTTGTTAGGACAAGGTTTAAAAGTGGTATGTTGGAAAATCCAAGAGCCTGACCTAGTTCCCAGCCAAGCAGACAGTAGAATTGATCTTACTAATTTTTCAGTGCAAGTAGAATGTCTGTATTTTATAGTCTGTGGATATTTAATTTTCCAGTATTGTTTGTGAGGATGGCTGATTTTACTTCACCATGTATGTGTTGGTATTTCCAGTTGGGGTAGGAAGGATTCCTATATTTTAAATTCTTTTATATGTATATATCTATAAATATATTTATCAGTGTTGTTATTATTGGTTATATTATTCCCATTTTTAATTTAAGGAAATCTACATGCTGTCCATTGAAAGTCTGGCTGAGGTAACTGCTCGTTGTATTGAACAGCTTCATAAAGTAGCAGAATTAATTCTACATGGGCAAGAAGTAGAAAAAACAGCTCAAGATCAAGCAAAAGTACTGACAAAGTGAGTAATATGTACTTCATATATGAACATTTGACATTTGCATAGAACTCATGAAGTTCCATTTAGCTTGAAGGCACAGTGAGTTCATGGATCAACAAACAGCACTGGATTTAGGGGTCCTGGTGCTGTATTTTCTCATAAAATCAGGTTCTATAGGCTACCTGTCATTCTTTGACATGGCTAACATATATATGTGTTACAAAAACATGACCTATACACAGGGTAAAACTTATTTCTGCTCCAGCAAGCAAATGTGCCAACTTGGGTTGCATTTCCTGTTCCCTCTGCAGAAGATACTGTGCCTGCATATATGGAATTTGTTTTTAGAGTGTATAATGCAGTCCTGTTGTCTGCCAACAGAGTTTCATTATCTAGTGTTTATCTGCCAAAAATATAAAAAATCAATTTGTAGTTCTAAACAATAGACCACATTTGTTAGCAACTTTGTAGTTAACCATAGTGAAACACCCAGAATTTCAAGAAGCCAGTCTATGTAGTGGGACTCCAAACTCAAATATCAAGCTCCCTGTAGTTATTAAGTCTACTGATTTCAGTAAGTTTTCATGTTAAGATATTTTAAACAATTGACTCCTAAGTAAGTAAAATATTTAACCAAGTGCTTGTCCTTAAGAATGCTACTAAGAATAGCAAAGTCCATAGGAGCACTTCAGTCTAAAACAGAGCACTTATTAAGTATTTTTCAGAATCAGAGCTAAGGTTCAGTGCACTTTGCAGGATGAGGCCCTATGGGATACACTTGGGAATGTCTAGGAAAACAATGAAAGATCTCAGAAAAGAATTGTTCTCTCATATTTTAACCACAAGTGGTCTTTCCCTTTTAGCACAGAGTAGATGTTTTATTGTTCGTAGAAGACTTCTCAGTGTTCTCATTCAAGTTTGATTTATTTCCAACAGTATTCCCAGAAATTGTGTTGCTGCAATCATCAGAAAAAACATAAAATAGAAGTTTAGAATTTAAACAAGTGAAACATTGCACTGTCAAAAAAACCTGGTGTGTGCAACAACACATCATTTTGCTGCTGTAGTCAGCAGTGGATTTTTCAGTGAAGGAATATAAAATCTTTATCATGGACAGTTTTGCCTAAATATTTTAAAGATACTTAGAAGCAAAGTTACTTTAAGAACATCTTTCCTTCCAAGAAAAAGTTTTTTTCCAAAATGGGGTTTTTATCTATTAATAGGTCAAGAATGTATTTTTATATTTGTCTCTCTTATTTTTTTAAACCAGTTTAACAAGTGCCATGTGCAATGAAGTTTCATCTTTATCAAAGAAGTTTTCTGATTCTGTAACAGCAGCTGGGGTAAGATGACAGCATTTTCTGTAGCATTTGTGCTTTTTTTAACAAAGTTCACCTCTTGAAACAGAAATTCTTATGTGGATCCAGAGGCTTTATATCAGCAAAGAGGCCACTTCTTTCCTCAGGTCAAGAACACAGTGCATTTTTACAGAGGGAAAGTTTATAAGCCTTGTAAAATCTCTCTTTCTACAAACCACTTCCTGTTTTTCCTGATCACCACTCAACACTTCTCACATTGAAGGGCCCCACATTTGAAGTTACACAGCTTGATGATGATTTCTTCTCCAACTTAGCCTATCCTTTTGAACACATTTGTGTAAAAGTCATTAACAGATTCTAGTTGCAGTACCTTAAGATGGTTTCATGAGTTGTCTTCTTAGCCTTTACTACATCCCCTGGCTTAGCACTGCAGTGTTTTCAAAAGGTTTAAAAGATTAGAAAATCTGTTTGGTCCAACTTTAAAAAAAAATCACTCTGTCTTCTATCACAAGATACTCTGTTTGAGAACATCCATTTATCTGTGAACATCTTTGCTAGAAATAGTATCCTGCCTTTCAAGATGCTTCAAGGATGACTGACATCTCAGTATTATAACAGGATTCAGAGGTAAAAATGGTGCTGTTGCTGAAATCTTCTGTAAACATCAGAGAAGAGCAAATTTGGGTTCTCGTGATTGTTCCATGAAAACATGAATGTAATTCAAATGAAATTTTTCCAGTTTTCCATTAGCTCTTGCAGCACATCTCTGAGCATGTTTTTTCGTAGTTATTTGCTAAGGACGTGATTTATGTCTTTCCTTTTATCATGAATAATTTACATAACTTCCAATTACTGCAAGGAAAAAATGCTTATTTTGCATTTTGGGATTGTACTTTAGCATATATCTGTGGGACACTTGAAATAAATGTATGCACAAAAATATGAAAACAATTGCACACAAAATATTAAACTGGCCCACTAAACAGTGCATTTTGTAATGGATTTTCTAGTAACTGAGAGTAAAAATGTAATTCTTTTCTCTGACCATCTCTCCTTGGTTCTACCATCTTTCTCAAACTAAAATTAAGAAGTTTCATGTTTCTGTAAATCTGTAATATGAGCTACAAGGTTGTAAGTGGAAATCCTTCAGTTAAATTAATCAGTATTGTGTTCAGTGTTGAAAGAAAGCAACTCTTGCTGGAGGTTACTGTTGTTCTAAAGAACCAGATTGCAAAGAACAGCGTGAATAAAAAAGGGAAGAACTTTTGCCATTTTAAAAAGTAGAGGAGCTAATGAATCTTGATTTTCTGGCCTCTAGTAGTGTCACTACTCATTGTATCCATCTGTCTTTCTATCTGGTGGTTGAGAGGAAGCTCATGCATGCTGAGCTGTTTCACTGGGCCACCTGCACTGCCCAGCACATGTGCTGCCTCCAATTTGGGGGTCTGAGTTTCACCTGGTTTTCCTTCTGTCAGGGACCTTTCATCTGGTCCTAACCACAGATATTTGTGTAACTTCTAAGAACTTCATTTTTCTTCTGACATGTCTTTTGGTGTCCTTGAAAATGTGCAAGGAGTTAAAATTTTTGTGGGATGTGAAAAGGTCACTGATAGACAGATGGACAATGTCATTACATAAACCTCACACCTGTAGCAAAGAAGCAATTTGAAACTCTGTGGAACATGAAGTAATGAAGAAGTAAAACCCTGGGCCTCAGGGTTCATTGTGCTCTGTGACAGAAATGCATGGGGTGTTCTGAGGTGGGGTTGAAATGCAGACACAGTTACTAGCAATGCTGAGATAAACAGGCTGAGTAAGAATCAAGGTGAAAGAAGACCTCTACAGAATTCATAAAACTACATCTTTGATATCAGTATATTTCTGTTAAGTGTATTTCTTGACCTGGCTTTTCATTCTGTTTTCTGATTTACAGAGTAATATGAAGGCAGAGGTTCTTAACCCCATTATTAACAGTGTGCTATTAGAGGTAAGCTCCACCTCTTCACATTAGAAAATGTTCTAATAAAATTATTTTAAATGAGACAGGCACATTTATTTCCAAAGGCAAAAACTATTTAAAAAGTAATGACAATATCATTCTGGCTGTTTGGTGCCAGAGCATAAATTTTGTGTTCAGACTCTCCCACAAATACTGTAGCAGTCAGGTTGCGTTTACTGAGGATTCTTAAGGGCTGTATGACTGAAGTGAGGCTGGCCAGCTCTGAAACTCTGCTGCTGTACTGGTCAGAGCACAGTAAAAAATTGCAAACTATTCTTTGCAGACTATTCAGACTATTCTTTCCTTTAAAATTTGGATTGTAGGTATGCTACAGTGTTTCTCAACTGCAGGCATTTAGATTTTTACAAAGATTCACTGTCTGTCAACAGCCTTGGTCAGCACATGGATAACCATGTGTCAGACCACCAAAATGTTCATGAGTGATTTCTTTTATTTGACACCATGTTCTATTTTTCTTCAGAAAAGCACAGTGAATAAAACATACTTCAGTTTTACCAAGAGGAGGTTGAGATGAAGTAATATCCTCATAAAGTCCTAAAACTCATAGGAGCTGCAGCACAAGTTTCTAACTCCATTAGATCACACTTCCCTTAAAGCATAAAGAAACATATAGTAGTGACCATATATTGTCACTCTGTGTTTAATAGCTGCATTCCCTTAAAAATAAGGAGAAGATTGCTTTACAATAGGCAGTTTTGCACTGAATTAACAGTACCTTTAAGGAAAATTAAGGAAAGTTGAAGAGAACTGTAGTGAAGACTACAATGCAGTTCCTTTTGTTATAGGGTAAATTTGCTGTAGCTGCTGACTTACCTTTCTATGCTCCAGGAACTGCAAAATCTAGGAATATTTAGATTTGTGGAATACCATGTTTTGTACTTCATAAATCCTATAGTTGTATACAAATATGTATTAATATTATACAGTCTAGGATCATGGAGAATTACAGGGCACTATACTGTTCAGTATTAGAAATTCCAAAAATAGTACTACAAGTTAAAACCATTATAATTTGAACTGTTAATTTCAGTGACACTTCTCCCACCTACAGCAAAATCAAAATTAGTTCAGTAGATGGAAAGACTAGCTGGCTTGTGTTTAAAAGTCAAATCTGCTTTTGAACACTGTGGCATTTTATTCTACTCATATTACCAACAAAACTTAGAGTCTTAGAGTTCAAACTGAGCGGCAGTCAGATTTTTCTATATTTATTCAGGCTATGCTATGTACAGATTCTAAAATCTTGTGTGAAGACAACGCAAATATAGCATGATGCAAATGTAAAAAAAAAAAAAAAGAAAATAAAAAGTCCAGTTTCATTCCTGAAGTACATGGCAGCTGTACTGATGACCCACATGTTTTCTCCCCCCTTTAGGGCTGCAACAGTACTACTTATATCCAGGATGCTTTCCAGTTACTGCTTCCAGTTCTGCAGATTTCTCATATCCAGAGCAGTTGTTCCAAAGCCCAGGAGTTGTCATCTTGAGAGCAACCACAGACCCGAAGTGTTGAGCTGTGCCAAGAGAAGGGCTGGTACAGATGTCTGGCCACTAGAGTTCTTTGAAGACACTAAATGCGGTTTTGCACACACAGTACTGAACATTTTAGAACTCTTTCAGACTTTAAGACTTTAGAAGTAGTTAGTAAAGTGAGTCATTTCTTTTCCAGTGCAGTTCATGCTTTGCATTAATTTAAACAGAAGTTTATTGATATTAGCATTGACTTAAATACGGATTCTAAATGTTGACCCTTTCACTTGTAAACAATGTATGAAACAAATTGGAATGTAAAGTTTCTTAAAACATTTTACTTCAGATTACCATTTATATTGTTTGCATTGTAACTGCAGTTTAAACACTATATTTCAGAAGATGGTTTCAGTATTTAATTTTTGCCAACATGAACAAATTATCAAAGTGTTGAGTTTGTTAAGTATTATTTCCAGTAGCAAATAATAACATCATATTAATTTGTACCACTAACATAACACTTTGTATTGAAGGAGTTGAACAGCAATAGGTATTAACTTTACTAAGTGAAAATTATGGAGGTTATGCATAAAGAATTAAACTGAAAAGAAATTTTCTGAGCCAGTTAAGATTACGGGTATAGCTCTGTATTTGCTGACCCATAAGTTTATATTAATTTAGGTCCATTTCATCATTTCCATGGCTGAACAACACAGGAAACAAAAGTAATCTTTTTAATATGCAGAGGATAGAAAAATTCCCTTTTGTTTGGCAATCGAAACACCTGCTGAACAACCTTCTCTCAGATGTACTACTGGGTTAACACTTTGGGGTTTACTGATACCTACAGTTTAGAAATAAAAGTTGTAGCAAGAAGTTATGAAAGAATTCCTTTGGGTGTGGAGGTCATATGTCAGAGCAATCATCTTTTTTCTGAGGCAATAGTTAGGGCATAAACAAGCAATAGGAATGACATTTCATAACAACACTAGCAACCATGCTAATTTGTCCATATCTTTAGTTTAAAATACTGAGCTTGGACTTAAGAATTTGTTTACGCTAGTTTACCTCTTATGCAGGAAGAACCTTCCAATATTTTACATAGCCTGTTCTCTTGAATTTTTGTCATTTGTTATGTTTCTTTCCATTATTTTGTGTTTTTCTCTCTTTGTATACTCATTAATTGTATTTAAATGCTAATTTTTACAGTTAACATTTTAATATGTTTAAGCATAGTTCATACATCATAAAAATAATTAAATAGTGTGAGGCAGTTTCTGTGTTTGATAGAAAAGAGAAACTGTGCATCTGCTTTGCACATGGTAACTTTTTTAAGTCCAAATAAGTGGACAGAAAGGTCTTTTTGTGTTTTACACTATTGTTCCTCTGTCACACTCATGGTGACTTTGCCATTTTTTGTTGTTTAGAGATGAAATGTTCCCTGTCCCTGAAATAAGGTTTATTATGCAAAATCTATTTCCTGGCACCCTGTAATTTAACAGACATAGAGATATCTTCCTGGGTAAGTAGAAGAAGTCTTCAAATTCATTTGCACAGGCTGAATATAATATCAGAAGCCTCAGGGGATAATGTTTGAAATCCCTGAGGGGAATTCTTAAGACAAGGATTGCTTGTCTGAGATACTCCTTACTAGAGGTTTCATTGTCTTGCTTAAATTATGCATTTATGAATAAAGTACCTTACCCTGAAGTAAAAGAAACTATAAAAAGTAACATGGAGAACTGAAGTATTTACATCTGTTCAATGTAGGAAGGGGAACAGGGCAGTATGTAAGCATAGGTATACTCCCATCTGATGTTAGATTCAATCATCTTGTCCTAGGAAAACTGAATGTCATATCTTTAAATCAACTTTAGGTTGACTTAATAAATAAAATTCCAGTAGAAAAGTACTGTATGGATGTAGCCACAATATTTTGTTTACACTGATTTGTATTTTTCCACCAGTCAAATCATTTGAGATACTGAACTGAGACAGTACAGTAAAAGGGAGTGGTTTGAAGAATAATATGATGGGAGTATATTCTCAGTGAAGTAATTTAATTTCTGATTTTTTTATTTACCTTTGGAATGATGAATGGGATTTTACTGTGAGACTGACAAAAAGAGAAGTTGCCTTAAACTTTTAATGGAGAGTGTTCTTTCTTTCATCACTACCCTTTTCCAGGTTAGTACACTGAGCCTTGGCACTTGACAAGACACTAGTTTTTAAGTACTTGTGAAAATTACCTGTTTTCTTGAGCAGATGTGTTTTCCATGGCATTTCATTGACTTTTGAGCACACTCACCCTTTTATGCAGCAACAAAGGAGGCAGGCTTGTGCACTGACTAAGTTCAGAATTTGTCAGGATGAAACTTAAAACAGTGTCTGCATGCCTACAGCCTTGCAGATGATCCACAGTTACAGGTCATCGCTGAAGAACCAGCTGGAATTAGACTGTTAAAGAAGTAATTTACTGAATATTAAGGATACTGACTTCTTTTTGTCTTGGGTTTTGGGGTTTTTTTTGGGTAAACAAACCAAGCTGAAAGTTGTTCACTGCTTTTTAGGGTATAGTTTATTCATGTGTAAATATCTCTTCCCCATGAGTTCCTCCTACACTCCAGCTTCCATTGCTAGAGACAGCTGAACAAAAGAACTGTCTCTTCCACTTTTTATCATGCTGCTTAAATCACCCACTGAAGCCTTTAATATCTTCCTCCAAAATGTGCCTCAGTCATATCATACAAAATCACAGTCATTACCAGTTGGGATGCTTTTTAATGATGTGTGTCACCAGTAATGTCCAGTGTCACTCACCAGTCAGGATTCATAACAATTTCAAGGAGTCTGAAACACCACACAGTATTTGAATGACAAATTTCCCCCTTTTTTTCTGACTCACAGAAGTGGTTCTATCATACAAGCATTCACCCAGCTCATAGGATTATCTTTGAGACATTCCAGTTCTATTTCAGATGACAGCCCCATCCTTTCTGCTAGTCTCAGAAAAATGTAGAGCGTGGAAAAGGACTTTCCTGAGTTCTTTTGAAAACCATCTCAGAGTAAGGCTTAACATGATGCCATCAGCCGGTCTGACCTACTTTGGAGTTCTTGCAGTTGGACTGGAAAGCCCTCTGGACTTTAAACACTTTATTCTGTCTCAGGTCAACCTTTGTTGCTGAAGCTGCTTTTATTGTGCAACTTATACATTTTCCATGCTGTCTCCTACTTCAGCATTCATATTGATGACAGTGTGCAGTTTTAGAATTAAAAATTGAAATAAAATGTCAAAAATTCAGCTGTATTAAAAAGATGGGAGATGGAAATTATTTTCAAAAGAAAAAACTAAAGACTGTGCTCTCTGGAAATTAGAACAATTTTTGAGGTTGGATTAGAGAAAAGCCTCTGTAAAAATATTTTTTCAGCATTTTTCAGAATAAACAAGAGATGACATCTGATTAGCTCAGCAGAACAGGAATAATGCACTCCTGAAGTAAAATGAAAATCTGCATGAACTGAAAGGTAGTCAAGAGGTGGAACATTAAAAGAGGAAGAGCTCAAAGGAAGGAGTAGAAAGGAAACAGGAAAAAGAATAGGTAAGAACAGTTAATTTGATCACTGTGGATCTGCCGTGCTCATTCTCCCTCTATTGGCTGCCCTGCAAAAGTCTTTGAACACACGTTTGCCAAGAACTCCTTAGCAGTCTCCCCACTTTGATCTCCTCTTCACAGCCTTCCTTTTGAGGACCTACCCAGAACACCAGGTAATTCAAGTAATTTTTAAACACCTTCAGAAGTCCCTCAACCCATTTAATATATTTGGGAAAATGCAGCCCTGTACTTCCAACCCTTTGAGATCTCAGAGACTGTATCAGCAGCTTTCTGGTGCTGGCATTTAAGATGGTCTCTGCCTTCCCTCCAGTTCCCTTTGCCAGTTCAGTCCTGTGTCCATTTTGCACGTTCTCTGCTCCATCAGTTCCACCTTCCCCACCAGTTCTGTTCACACACACACCTCTTCTCCACCTTCGTGTTTCTTTTCCCTCGCTGATTTCTTAGGCTTTTCCCTCCTGCCCATCATCTTGTGCTTGAGAGGCTGCACCAGGACATCCTTTCCCTCCTGACATGTTTAGTTCTGACAAAGCCAGAAATAAGGACAAGGAATTCCAAGGATGTGGGAGGAGAGAAACCAAACCTCAGGAGAAAATGGCAAGACTAAACCAGAATTACTTCAGGATCACATTTTTTGTTACCATCCTTACCAATGTCCCCCCGTTCTTCCATTATTTCCTGTAGTTTGGATCATAGTTAGAAGACAAGGTAAGGTTTACCCAGCAAACAAAACTTGAAAGAGCCTTTTGGGTTTTCTTGTTTATGGTGTTCCTAAAGGTAACTTGGAACCTTCCAGGGTAGTAAAGCCAAATACTTGGAGAGCTGTGGGATAACTGAGTAATAAAATAGGAAATCACAGTTTATTTGTCTAAGGAAAAGAGGTAGGTTATAGGCAGCAAGAATAATAATAGAATTAAATTATAGAAGAAATAAAATTAAGTTGGCGTCCCAAGAAGCAGGGCTGCCCCTATCAAGATCTCTAGAACTGAAGGGGAAAAAGTGATAGATAGCTTGAATTACTTGAAGCATTTAAACACTGACCAAAACTGCCTTAGCAACTCTGTAGTGAATTGAGACAAATATGTCTCTTTGTCTGTAAGCTGCTCTCTATAATAAGCAGAAAACACAACCAAGAAGCAAATTGTGAGAGGCTTACTTTATAGACTGTATTAAAAACTCTTCTTCTGAAAATCTTATTAAAAACTCTGCTTCTGAGAAGCTTCATTATTACCACAAACAAACAACAAAAAGCCCCCAAATCAAGAAAGTATTTTTCTCTTATTTTTTTAATAAGATGGTAAAATAAAAAACAATAGAAACAAATGTTTCGGACTTATCCAACAAAATACAAAAAAAATCTATATGCCCTCAAACATAGCTAATGTTCACAACTATTCCTATTAAATCTGAACTGCTCAGTGTAGACTGGAAAATTCAATTTCAGAAAGCTTCAGGAGGGAAAGGCTGTATAAATGTAAGGAATGGAGGTAATGAAGTATTTACTGGATGCTAAATTGCTGCCTATTGTGTTTGCAATGGGCAGTTTACAATCTGTTCATCCTGATGGATTTAGCACAAGGGAGCCTGAAGTCCTGGCAATTTCTGTCTCTGCCTAGTGACTGATGGCTAAGCTGTACCCACAAATCATTTGTTAGCACCAAAGGAGTTTGGGACCCTGCTCAGCCCAAACAGCTCCACTGCACTCAGAGGAGCAGCAGTAAATGGAAAGTAAGGAAAGGTTCCAAGAGATAATGGGTTGGAATGCTAATGATCCAAGCTGGAACAAAAGATGGAGATGCAATTTCTCAAAAAGTACAAACCAATTTACTGTCTTAATGAGTTATCAAAAATCTGTAATAACCATTTTGTGATTTGAAGCCAAATTAGTATTTTTCCACAATTTTTCTTTATCCACTAAGATATTGCACAAATTGTCATGGTCTTCCTGGTTTACTGCAGAAACTAACATGCTGCAGAATTCTTTCCTTCTGTAATACTTTGGTCACCCTTCTCAACAGCCAGAAACTGTATCTTTTAGGCATCTTAGTCATCTAGAGCATTAAGTAGGTTGAAAATTGTGCTTATTTCATGAAAGTAGA